CGGAAGCGACGTTATCCCATCGATTGCCGCTGTGTCGCGCGGGTATTGCGGGACGCAACGGATCAAGGGATGAGGATCTTGTTTTCCCGATGGCGCGCGGCCCGTAGCCGTCGCGGAGCGGCGTCGTCGGCGCTCTCGCGTTGAATTTTCGCGTCAGCGCCGCCGCGCTAATAACGCTGCCCTGCGCCGAGGGTGAACGAGGCGCCCATCCCGGATAAAGCGGTGGCTGCAACGCGGAAATCGGCTGCGACAATCGACACGCTGAGAATGAAAGTGGCGAGAGCGGACGAGCGGGCAAAAGAACGAACGTACGAACGAGTACCTGCACTACACGCGATCAATATTCCATGTGCGGGCGCACACTCGCGCCGGAGCACGTGTACGCGTTTGTTTTCTGCCATGCCCCTGGAGCTTTCATGGTTACTCGCATCGTTGGAGGGAATATCCTTTCACGCGAACTTTCCTCAGCCATTCTAAAGGGTGTTAAGGGAAAACCTTGTTGCGCGGAGGAGCGCGCGCGGACGCCTGGTTTTCTTTTTAGCGTTTGCGAGGGTTATCATATATATATATAAGTTGCGCCGCGAGAAGGCGGTCGGTCGGTTCTCCTTTATCGAATTTCAACCCTTATCCTCGTTTTGTCGTTCAGCGAGCGAGTTGTTACGTCGCCCCGATTTTTATCGCCTGCCCCGCGTTTCCCGTTCCGCGTATTTGGCATAGTTACAAGAGAGAAAGAGAGAGAAAGGAGGAAAGAGAGAGAGAGAGGGAGAGAGAGAGAGAGAGAGAGAGGTCGTTTAGCCGATCTCGTCACGCAGGGGTGTCGCGGAACGGTGGCGTTACATGAGCGCGCGTAACCTCCGTGATGGATTCGCGGGGCTGGTTACGAGACGGCATTGTTTCCGCCGAGGTGTGCTATTTATGTTTCCGTCGGTACGTTACGAAGCCTCGTACGCCCTATCGCCCTTGGGGCTGCCATTCAATTTGATTGCGCCGACAGGGATCCACGGCGCCACGGCGAGCGCCTCGCACGAGCGGTTACGACGCGGCATGAACGGCCCCGTAGGTGCGCCGCGACGACGACACGTGCGCAGGAGCAGAAATCCGCCGGAAATTCGATCGATTCGCGCGAGAAAGTTGGATACGAGCGGGAAGTTGGACACACATACACACACATACACACAGGAGCACGGTGCAATCGAGCCTGCGGCTCCGAGAAGAGAGGGCCTCGCGTCTCTTGACCCCGATCGTATCCGCGAGAGAGAGAGAGAGAGAGGTAGGCCGATAAGACGAGAACTGCGTGTTCTCGATCGAAACTTGACCTTGGCTCGGCCGCAACTCGGTAGCAATGCACCCGTGGCCAAGAGGCGCGTTCGGGCTATAATAACGTCGCGCGCGCGCGCGAGCGAGCTTATTTCTCTCGCGTGCGGTCCTCGATTCTCGATATAGCGAGCGAGAAGGAGGAGGAGAAGAGAGAAAAGTAGTGCCGTTCGCGGCCAAAGGCGCACTTGGGATCATCCCGCGCGCGAGTCATTTTTACAGAGCATCCCGGGCTTTAGATAATCAGCCGTCACGTGGGAGAGACACGCTGCAATTTGTCGCGCCGACTGACACTTACGGAAAAACTTAACGGCGCGGGGTATAAGAGATCTCGATATAGGAGCTCGCTACCCTCGAACCGAGCGCTTTATCAAGGCCGGGGTGTATTAATAAGCACCGGGGCTTATCCGCGACATTGTGATACTCCGAGACCAAACAATGATTTCTCATTCGTGTCCTCACGATCGATCAATTTCTCGCACGAAGCTATAAGACAGCTTAGGGAGTATCACTTATTCAGCGAACTTGCAAGGTCTCGGCCGCGGTTATTCTCGAATATAGCGCTTAGTACGTTATTCCAAATTGTAGACACGATTTTGCGACGCGGCGCCCGCGGCGTGTCGCGGGTTAAAACACTACACGCACTCGGGGAAAGTCGGCCGCACACGTGGCCGGTTAACTTCGAATGAGCGCTTGCAGATTTCATCATCGTCGCCTCGAAGAAAGGGGAAAAGAAATCCTTGGTTAGTTGAACTACTTTCGTGTCGCCTATTGTTTAGTCCGCTGTCTCTGTATCCGCGCGTTTCTCAACGATATAATCTCGCGACGCGTCAATCGCGCGAAACGCTACATCATCGATCGGATCACGAAGTTGCGCGGTGGTAATCTAATTAACTCTTCGACCGCGTTATGGGTCAGATACATCCGGTGAATTGTGTCTGAAGAGCTGTAACGAAGAGATGTGATCTATGAATTCTCTTTGTTCATGAATGATCGTTCGAGAGTCGCTCCGTCTGTTAGATGTGGTGCGGATCTGATAAGTCGATTAATCGCGTGTTTCGGAGCCATCTGAACTTGACGCAGGGTCACTTAGACTCATAATACGGTCGGTGTATGATTGTACGCCACAAGTGACTTTCTTTGCTGAAAATTTATGTATAAACATAAGTAAATATTGTAATTACGCATATTTTTTTGAAAATAATAGTGGTTAATTAGGGTTATATAGGATCAGATAGCGTGTAACCTACGCGAGCGCGTTCTGAAAAATAATAATTTACCATTTTTTGTTTAAATAATGCGTGTTACCATTTTGCAAATAAAAAGAACTATCTTCGTTATTTTCGCAACAAAAATATTTTTTTCTCATACAAACGTCTATTTTCGATACTTCAAATTACCCTCTTTTCAGTGGTTCAAAAATAATGCTTTTCGAACGCGCACTAAAGCCATATTTTTTTCGGTTAAATATTTCATATTTCATTTTTCAACTTTATCGCCCTACAGAAATCAAAATAATAAAAAGTAAAAATGTTACGATTTTTTAAGTAAAACACTACTTTTCGCGAAATCACTCTATAAATTCGAATTTTTTCAGTAATTTAAAACTTGATTTTCTATGAATGCATAATCAAACATTAAAATAGAAGAGTTACACTTTATTCTAGAATTTTGTCAAACTCTTTCCTTTTATCGTTTCTCCGATATGGAACTTGAAAGATCGCACAAAGGTCGATATGATCTTGTTTGCAGTGCGATCGACTTTTCAGAAATGTGCAGTCAAAAGCTTAAGATTCCGACGACTATTAGCGACGGAAAATAACACGACCAGCCGGGAAAAGACGATGGGTTAATCGGCAAAGTTCACCGTTTTGATTTCGACGCTGTTCGAGAAACACGACCTGCGACACACGCTTTGCCGCACGTCCTCGCTTCGCCGCGGGAGGAACGTCAATAATAACGCGTGACGCGATTTCGATATTGTGTTTCGTTGCGCGATTTAATTGCTTCGTTACAGGTCGGGCGCGATACGATACGCGCTACTGTGCGATATTTTAAATTGAAATACGAATTCGCTCTGTTAATTATCTCCGACACGCGCGTGGCTATGATATTGCACTACCTGTGAGCAAACAATTATGTCCATTGTCGAATTACAGCATTTGTGATACTGAAACCGGCTCCGTAATTCTCAGTTATTAGTACGGTAATGCGATCGGAAATATCAAATCGACGTGTGCGCACTTTGTAAGAATTTTTCTCCCCGTTTTCTCCCTTTCATACTTCGAATTTAAAACGATCAAATTATTAGTTATTCCCTACCTGATTATCTCTGATGATCCCGCAGGTATTGTCGACTGGTAATTGGACCGTAATTTAATGATCATTACACACATTCGTATCTTTCCTGGTTACGACATTGTTTGGTGTAATGTCTTCCGCATTATCAACGGATATACTTCGTTTAGACACTGATAAGATTACGTAAAAATGCACGACTGCGTCCAGTGCATTTGTACCGACATCTACATATTATACGTATGAATAAATGGTGTGCAGAACATATAAAAGAAACATACGAAAAAAATGTATGATATTGTATCTGTTAACCTTGGTATAAATCTATGCAGTTTTCCCAGACACCCTTCCAGTTACTGTCTAGTATTAATAAATAATGCATTTACATTAAGTAACAATACTGCATAGGAAATGGACAAAAATTCGATACAGGGATACTTTTAGGTCAAAACTGCTTATTTCATAAGCAGAAGGTTTGTTTATCAATTAATTGAATACTTTTCTTATTTATTCATTGTTCCATTTTCGTCCGGTAAATGAATTCAGATTTTGCGCATCTTTTATGCGTAGTAATCGCAAGAAAAACGTAACGTCTCGATTCCCAAGAGATCCCAAGTAATCTTACTCATCACGCAGTAAAAAAATAATCTTAAATCAAGAACAGATATTCTCACGTATAAGCAAGAATATTATGATTTTCTTAGAAGATTTTCAGCCTTGAGCCGAGTCCAAGTAATATTTGCATTAATACAAATTCAATCAAGTCAAGACTAGAAATCTTCTAAGACGATAATAATATTTTTGCTTATGTGAGAATAGATATTCTCGATTTAAGGAATCTTTTTCTGCGTAATTATTAGACAGGAATTAACAAACCATCTAGAAACTGGACCAAAAATGCAGGAAATTTCTACCAGGGAAGTGGCGTTTTACACATTGAATAAAGAATCCATTGAAATTATCGCTATTTCTCCTCCTCTCCTCGAAACCGGCGGTGTCATTGCCACCGATGAAGAATAAAGAACGACGTGAGAGGCATTCGCTCTTTCATCAGCTTTTCCTATTATTTATCCTCACGACGAGCGCGCTCTAAGAAAATCGCGATACCCCGAGCGGTGAACCGTACCGCGCGCATTCTCGCGGCCCGATGCCGGATGCATTCAAGGTCGCGGACACGTAATTCCGCGTGTGCTTCCGTTAAGAAACAAAAATTAGTTCGGGATTAACCGGCTGATTTAACGGCAGGAGAGCCTTAATTAGCGAAGAAAGATACATGACATTAGGCCCTCCATAAAAGCACGCCCACATCCCGTGCGCATCGTGGACGTTATAAAAAGCGCGAGCGACCGCTCGCTACACATTTCGTTGTCGGAAGTGGTCGCGAGGGAATCCCATTGCAAGTTGCAAACGTACGACGAGACGCACACAGAAAGAGAGGGAGAGAGAGAGAGAGAGAGAGATAGACAACAATGCACACCGTATACGTGCCGGTGATCCTCGGCGTAGTGTTGCTACAGGCGATTTACGTGTCCGCCGGGGTAAGCCTCTTAGCTTACTTTCGATAGGGCTCCCCCTAGATTCTGATAAGGGAAGCGATATCGCGGTGATAGTGGTCTCCATACATATATATATATATATATAGGTGTATATACACACGACCGGTGATATGCGGCGATTCGCGCGCAATTTTATCGAATGATGCCTGAGGTCCGGGTATACACACACAGGATGCGAGGATTTTCCGCGCGCGTAATAAATTCTGATTTTGCGTAGCCGCCCGACTGGATACCCCCGGAAATGTTGGAGATGGTTCAAGGTGACAAGGAACGGTGTATGGCTGAACACGGGACGAGTCAAGGTGAGTTTCTTCTCTTCCTTTTTTTCCGTCCATCTCCGTTTCCGCGGTAAAATTATACTCGCGCATGACTACTCGCGCATACTCGCCCGATGATTCCACGGGCTAATTAATTTACATGGATAATTCTACGGATGTCGCGATAATACGATAATGGTGAATTAACGTGTGTGTATCCTTTCCTGAACGTCTTCGGAGAAAAATGCAAAAATGCCATCTTCAATGTTGAAATCATCGTCCCGCCGATCGTTCATTCGAGCTCGACCGAAGACGTTTTAACGTCATTCCAATTTCGCAGACCTCATCGACCAGGTTAACGATGGAAAGCTGGTGAACGATCGTGCTATAACGTGCTACATGCATTGTCTCCTCGATGCGTTCAGTTTGGTAATGTTCCCATGTATTCTTAAACATTGCATTCTTACGCGAAACGCGGGCAAATCAAACACGAAACTCACCAGGACGATAATCCGACACAGGTCGACGAGGAGGGTGACTTAGAGACCGAAATGCTGTTAAGCGTCATACCCGAGCAGTTTCAGGAGATAGGTAACAAGATCTTGAACAAATGTGCCAAGCAAGGTAGGTCGCGAAACCCACCCTCCGCGCGTACTCGTACATTTATTATTTCATCGTCATATTTCACGAATAAGTCACTTCCCGTCCTTTGATTCGATTAATCGATCTTCCAGACGGCGCGGATGTGTGCGAAAAGATATACAAGATAGCAGCGTGTGTCCAAGGAACGGTACCAGAAGTAAGTGGACCTGATTTATATTAAGAGAACTTGAGAAGTCTACTCGCCGGGATCAGAAACGCACGATATATGTATATCGCGCGGTCAAAATATCAGTCGATAAAACCTACATTTTCTCACATTTTGCTCTTATCGTGATTAATTAACGTTGAAATCGTTTAACGTTACAGCTGTGGTTCATGGTTTAATTCGACGCACGGAAGGGGTTTGTTTCCACGACCAAGATTGACGACGTTCTCCGAAATATCCCGTGAGGAACGTTTACGATTTAAAGCGAATCGCACGAGAAGCAAAACCTAAGGTATAAAGAAATAGCGAAGAAATTTAAATTACATAAAACCGAGCAGATTCGTCAGATTTGTATTATAACAAATAACGATCACGATGAGCACGCAATACGAAGTCTAAAAGCGAGAATAAAATTGTTATGGAAAATGTGAAAGAGATTAGATAAACTATAAATATGCATTGAAAAATCGTGTTAGACCTGAACAACGAACGAAGTCCGTGTTGGATTAAACAATTTTTTTTTATGACTTCAATTGCCTTTGATTCTCATACCATTTAACTTCTTTCACTTTTATAGAACTTTAAAGTGTGTGTCGGAGTAAGGCGGGGGAGGAGGGGGAGTAGCTTGTCGCAAAAAGTTTCGCGAGCCTATGATAATTGCTTGTTTACGTGCAACAGTAATACACAATCGTTCACTGATCATAAAATCACAGGTGTGCTTAGTTGGCAGCATTCACGAGGAAAAATATTACGTAATGTTTTCGTTAGATCTTCGCCGGGATTGTGTAATTTGCTCAATTCCGCCCCGCACGAAGGAACTTCAATTGAGAAATTGAATGATTGTTACCGTTATGTTAAAGTGCAATTTAATGTAAAATTTGCAAGAAATGCGCATTTTATTCACGGTTTCGAAATCACGCCCGGAAGTACGTGGAATGATTTTGCGGAAATTTGCCGCGCGGTGTTATCGTGCGAGAGGACGCGCGGGAACGACAGATGTTCCCCGTGTATAAATCTCGAATTACCCCGCTAAAAAGTCCATTATATATTACAATTTGTCGGGCCACTCGACGTGGACGATCAATTTACATTCGTTAAAAACTTCACGAAACCCCTAACGGAGTAAGTTCGTCGCGATTTCGTGACTTTGTTCGCATCACGCGATATCCTCCCTCGGGAGGAGGTACTTGGAATACTTCGGGGAGTCATCAATGACTTGGGCTTGGTCATATTTCCATGAAAGAGTACTTTCTCTACGTGGGAAATAAACTATGATAGTGCTTTTACTGAGAAACGGCTTCTCTTGTTGTTGATTAAACGTTGGTATAATTTTATGCGCACCGTGTTTAAATCGGAGCGACGAACGACAAATAACCGTGTGTACTTTGTTGTCTCCGAGTATTTTTTCGCAACATGTAATATCGAGACGTCGGCTTATATTATATAATATAGTTATATAGTTTCAATATATCGCATAAACAGGATATTTTTCAAGATATAGAATTTCGCGGTTGTCTGTGACTCCCCGAGATCACGAGACTTTTAGAAGAAATAGGATGTTCCGAAAAACACGCTTCAACTTCCAAACAGTTTATGATAAAGAATTCAACGAACGGCGATTTTAAAACGCAGTTATCATACTTCACCGTGCAGCGAAATGTCTTTTCCTCTTTTTTCCCCACCCGTTTTTTTCTCTTCTTTTTAACGTATTCGGCCGTAAAGCGTGATAAATGCGCTTCGGAACGACCGGTCTCTCCGAGTGCGATATCTCCTGAACTGTTTAGGGATTAAAACGTTTCGCACAGTATCGCGCGCGGCATCGGAATTCGTTGAAAGAGAGAGAGAGAGAGAGAGAGAGATAGAGAGCGTGAAATTCGATATCGCAGAGAGTATCGCGGTTACGGTATTAGAACAAATTAATGTCTCGATATTACGCGTAAATAGCGTGAAAAAGATCGAAGAGAACAAAACTCTCTCGGTCACGCTCGGCTTACCTGCCGACTTAAATCGATCGGAATCTCTCATTCGTGTGCGACTACGGACTTGCACGTGATATTCAGGAGGATCGTACCAGCTCGTCGCTGAACAAAATCCTCGTTTCACTCGAGTCTTTCTCTCTTTTTTTATTCCCCCCTCCCCCTTTTTTCAACGTAACACACAATTGGAAATGTCGCCGTTGGGAATATACGTTACAGTATTACACTACACTATTTCGCTCATACGGCGACACCTCGCGCAATCACGTGTCGCATGTTAATTTAATTGCTACGCTTAGAATAATCGCGACCACCGTGCAGCTACTACGTGTGACATTCAGTGCAATCGGGAACCGCTTTAATTCGTGTCATTGCGTACGTAACATGCAATTGCATCGCTGTGCGAGGACTCTGCAAGGAGGGGGGAAAAAAAGAAGTGGAAGAGGTACAAAAAAAGAAAAACCGCTACAAGTCGCTACTACGATCGGCACCAGTCGATCCAGTTCATATTACTGCCGCTGCATGCACGCACGCATTCGGCGATGACTCGCGCGGCGGTGACGCGCCCGCCACTCCAGTTTCGTATTAATGAAATTAACAGTGCGTCTTCTATTATGCTGCATTAAACGAGACAGATCTCTCGTGCGTTCACCCCGGCAGATGAATAACACTGGAACCTGGTGCGGAACAAAGCGATTGTGAAGTGCGCTTGCGGGTGTGAAACGACCCTCGAGAGGACACGGAGAAAAGTCTTTCATCTTGCGCCGTCGCGAAGGAGGGCTTTCATTCAGGCCGGTATTCTTCGCAGCGATAGCGGAAGATTGTGAATTTCGACTTTGAAACCGGCGGGAGTTATCGTCGTGACCGCTGCTTTCGGTAAAAAACCAAAAAAAGGGGGGAAAAAAGAATAAGAGAAAAGATCGAGCTCGTAAACAGCGTTCGAAGGGGAGAGGGAGAGAGAGAGAGAGTTCTTTTGCGGTTAATAAAAAAAAACAAATTGCCTCTATTAAAGTAGATTGAGATAATCGACATTGTAACTTCAGCACGCACCGATACAAATTTCAACAGGATGACTTGACGTTTACGTCACCCATAAAGTATCATCAAGAGCTTTTTAAACATCGTTATCCGGTAACGTTGAACGTTATTAATTTCCACAAGTTAATATTAATAAATCGTCGGACAACATTAATCATCGATCAACCAACTGATTAATTAAAACACATAAAACGCGATTAATACGCACAGGAGCGAGACAAGTGTGTCTCTCTCTCTCTCTCTCTTTTCCGGATAAACTCGACGGTAGCCGACGACTGGGGCACGAATCGCCGTGATGACTCGGAAGAATTTTTCTCCGTGAACAAACGAGAAAACAGGGTGGGTTCCGGGTGGGATGCAAAACGTTCATGAGCAACAAGGCGTAACAGGGTGGTGGCGATCAACAACAACCAAGAGCAAAAAAGAAGGAAAGAGGTGGCTCCTTTCTTGTAAAGATAGTGACAGAGAGAGAAGGAGAGCAGTACCTTAAGGTCGATCGAGTGGATCGCGCCGGTATGCGGCGAAGAGTGCTCTTTCGCATCGCCGCCGCAATTCGCATTGTTGTTAACGTTCGGCAGCGAACCGCCCGCCCTGAACTGATTCCCCAGGTTAATGTGCAGGTGCTTGCCGCTGGACTGCGGTGGACTGGCGCCGGCACTCTTGACGGACAGCGGGGTCTCCGGTACGCCGGATCCCGTGGGACTAGCACCCACCGAGCTGCTCGCCGAGGCCACCTGTGCAAGTCCGTCATTGACAACCAACCATGGGCATCGCGTCTCGTACGCACGTGCGATCGTAAGCGCTCCTCTTACACCCTTAATACTCTAGTCGGTGTCGTTTGATCGGATCGACGCGCCATCCGACGCACGATCGTCGTCGTCGTCGAATAATTTTTACACTAAATTTTGCGCTCGTCCTAAAATTAACATCGTCTTCTACGATTTTTCTACGGTGTCCACCGAATGTGTGATCTTTTTTTTTGTGTGTTCTTTTTTTCGTGTTTTGCATCTTGTGATTTTTTGTGTCTGCACTTTTTTTTCGTCCTCGGTAGAATCCGCGTTAGTCGTAACTGGCGTGACAATCACCGTGATTTTCAAAGATTACAGATTAAACTCGAGCAATAAGTGAAAGCTCAATTCTGCGGGTCCGGATTTTGGCAAGTTCCGATCGCCGGTCCGTCCATCCAGTGACGAAGAATTCGGAAGCTTTTCGTTTTTATCTCTTTCGAGTGCTGTCGTGCGTGACTTCGCTCTCGATTTCGCGAGCGGGCATTCGTCGTCGTTTCTCTCCTTCGCGGACAATTTTGCAACACGTGCAATCTCGCCGTCGATTATCGTCGGTGATTACACGTTACGGTCGTCGAGTTTCGCGCGACTCGAATCGAATCTCGTTTGTTAGCGCGGCCGATTGATCGTTTCGGGGTTTCGTCCGATTAACTCCGTAATTCTACATCTCGCGGCGCAGTATCGGCGCGCTTATGGACCGCGCGATAAACAGGTTCTTATCTCCTCGGCCGATGCCTGGATTCCGCTCTCCGATCGCCTTTCCAAGCGGTACCGCGTTCGGAGTTACGACTGTGAGCGAATTTCGCTTGACGATGCGCTCACGAAATTTCACACACACACACACACACACACACACACACACAAAGAAAACGTGACAACGGAATTCGGTTTCAACGGACAGCAGGTAGACGGAATAACCCGGCGAGTGACAGTTTAAAGGTCGTCAGCTGACCCTTGAAAGACGCAACGGTTGACAGCTGAGCTTACGTTCTCCGCGTTTTTACTCGAGACGATCTCATTTCGACGTCTGCGGCACGCCCGCGTCTGAATAACAGCAAGTTTCCGCGTGAATAATTCCAAATAGAGACCCGACGATTTTCCGCCCCGAAGGGTGCTCCGAGAGGGCATCGAATCATTCCAAGTAACGTTTCCGTAGATATCTTATTTTTCCGGCACGAACGCTCTCCCTTCAGCGTCTCTTTCGACCACGAGATGCACGCGGAGGTACATTATTCGAGGACGCCGAATGCATCGACCCGACCGGCTCCCGCCGGCGCTCCCGTTGGAAATACCTCGAGGAGCCGGCGCTGCCAACGCGAACGGGATGTTTACACGCGCGTGGAAACGAATCGGAACGTACCGTAATCGAACGCCGAGGCATCGACGGAGACTGCAAGCGCGATTGAAAGCGCGTTCCGTCTAGCTTTTCACATCGGGTGCGGAAAACGAAAGACGCTCGATTATACGCCGCTACTTGAATTGCGAAAGGCGGCATCAATCAATTTTCCAAATCGAACGAACGGCTCGCGCGAACGGACACTGGTCGCAAGCGCGTCTCGGACGCGAGTACGAATTTCAAACGGCCACGCGTCGATCGGAACCGCGCGAGCAGGCACCGCGCGAAGAGAGAGGAAGAGAGAGAGAGAGAAAGAGAGAGAGAGGGAGAGAGAGAGAGAGAGCGAATCGTCGCGCGATACTACGCGTTTCGAGCGACGATTCAGCGCGTCATCGCGGTCACGCAGCGAGTCAACGCGGATCAACGCGCTTCTCGCTCGTCGAAAGCCGCGAGCACGTCGCAACCGAAATCCTCGGCGCGCTTTCGCGCGCGTCGCGAGCGCACACACGCAGCGCACATCGGAGCGCGTTGTGTCGCGTCGCTCGCGCTACACACACACACCAACATCGTCGCACATACACAGGCGCTCGCGCGGATGCACTTGCAGTCGTCGCGCGTACACACGTTCGCGGAGTAAACCTAGTGTACACGCGCGCGCACACACACATACGCACGCAACACACACGCACACACTTACACATATACCAACATGTACCGTGTATACGTTGTAAGTGCAACGAGAAAAGAGATAGGAATTAGACGGAGAACGGGTCGGCGGGGAGGGAAAGGGGAGAGCGGCAAGGGGAACACTCGTTGTTTACGTTCTAACATCTGAGCCGCGCGAGGGAGGTGCACGACGGGTCACGACACACGGCACACGACCCTCCCACGCCACGGGGGGAGCTCTCTCACTTGAGGAATATTTTCTCACTTACCCTGCTCGTGACGTCCGAAACCTCCCGCATGATTGCCTCGAACGCCGCCGTCTCCTGCGCCTGCTTCTGGTTCAGCAGCGCGATCTTTTCACTGAATTTCCGTGGGTTCGCCATGATGGCTCGGCACTAGTTTTTCGCGGACACACTCTCTCTCTCTCTCTCGCGCGCGCGGAACCCGGAGCACCCACCGCCGCCACCACCACCAACTACCACCAGCGGGAGCACACGATCACCAACACCACCAACCACCACCACCGTCGTCGTCGTTGGCACTCTGCCCCCTCGCGGCTCTTCCCTTTTTCCCACCGTTCGTTGTCGTCGTCGTCGTCCCGACGGACGACGCACCGCTGCTCGGCGGAATCGCACGGCCAATAATCGCGCTATAACCCCGTTAACCCGCTCACTGTGTGCCTCCTGGATGGCACTGGCGAACACTGATACGCAAGATCATGCGGCGCAGCGCGCCATGCGCATTGCGCAGGATCCGCATTTCGCTGTGCGATTGGTCGCGCGGCTATCCCCGCTGACTTGCGGCTGCGTCCGCAACGAACAGCTGGCGGTTCTCCTGCGAACGACGAGCGCGCTGCGATCGACTTGTGCCGGAGCTCGTAGCGAGAGGTCGCGAGTGAAATTCTCCGCGACGATACGATTGTGGTTGGCGATTGGCTACGTTCCAACTCGACGGATACAGCGTGAATTAACCGGTTACGATAAAGAAATCTTTTTCCTTTTCGTCCTGATTGATTAATTAGATGCTACTTTAATCCGTTGAGTAAGATTTCGGGACGCAGGTACTACACTGCTCAGCGAAATTTCGCATTTGATTGGTATATTCTTTTAGTCATAAAAATCCATCAGACGCGAAAATTCATTAAACGCTCAATGGATCGGTTGTACTATCGGATACACTTATCCTATGATATCTTGCATGTTGCACACGCGATTGGTTGATTTCTCTGTAGGTGTAGTCTTACGTGCTGTATGAATTCGTCTTCATAAACTTATGAGAATGGTCGCGTTCAGCAGAGAAAATTGCTCCTTTACGTAGTTAAAGTCTACGATTGGGATATTCGTCTGGATCCATCAAAGATCTAAAAGAATATTCCAATCGTAGACGTTCATTACGTAGTGGAAACGGAGCAGTTTTCTCTGCTGAACGCAGCCAATGGGAAACTTCCAATCGGGCAACTGATCCGCTATTCTTCATTCATTTCGTACTTCATCCGATAGCCAATTAGGTTGGCCAATAAGCTTGTTGCAAAAGTATCGTGTTGGACTGAACGAATACGAAAATAAAAAGCACGCAATATTTTTACGCTTGTTTGTATGCGATGATCTTTATGCACTACGAAATGAATATCAAATGAATATTACATATGTATGTTTATACAAATAGATCGAGTGGTTATTTTGTGAAACATTTCTACATTTCGTCGACGAAGAAAGAAGGAGGGAGAAGTCTTGAAAACAAGGATTAAAATAAACGTAATTTTCCTTGAAACATTTACCTCGATAGTTTCCTCCTTTTATTTCCTCCTTTTATCGAGAATGATTCAGTGTCGGTGCGAGTGTTGACGGTGTAGCCGGTCGTGCAACACCGATAAGTTTATTATTTTCATTGTGTAAAAGTGAAAAAATAGGAGTAAGTATATTAAGAATGGCGAGATTTGATGAAGACATGTACTTGGAACGTATTCCAATGCCTGTGTACAGAGAATTGGTTTATGAATTGAACAAAAATTCGAATTGGAAAATACTGGCCTGTCACTTGGCTGAACAACTTGGATATTCACGGTAAATGATGATCTTAAGATAATTCAGACTACTGTTGCAAAAACTAATAAATCAATAAGTAATTATTTTGAATCGTTTCCATACAGTAACTCATGGCTGCAGTCACTGCAACAAAATACCAGTTCCACCAAAACACCAGCAGAAAATTTGCTGTTTGAGTTAAATATAAAAATGTGTACAATTGGTATATTATGTACATTACTTAAAGACTGCGAACTTGTTAATGTCCTATCAATTTTATATCATCCAGGTAATCATATATATTTATTTTTGTTTAATGGAAATAATTATATACATACATAGGATACTCTAATCTGTCAATTTTATTCATACGTATATTCAGATTCAATTTTGAGTTGTTCCTTTTTTATTCACTTGTGCATATATATGTGATAGAAATAAAACCTAGTCACATTCCTTATTAGAATCTTCTATTCTTTGTTAGAGCCATTGGCAATTGTCAAACATCCATCCGATGATACAGGACGTGACAGAATAGAATTATCCTTCGACCAGCACCTACGTCTTTCTTGTAAAGCTACTGGTATACCATTACCAACTTATAAATGGTATCACAATGATACTGAGCTAGAAGAACAGCAAAGCCATGAGCTTGACATTATTATAACTAGGTAAAGATATTATACTCGAACGTAAGTGCGATGCAATAGATCAATTAATTAGTTACTGTGTAAAATGTCTTGCAGTTCCAGTCAAGCTGGGGAATATAAGTGTAAAGTCTCACAGATGACTAATGAAAATATAATTTCTATGTTATTGACCAAATCAGTTTTTCTAAGTCTATCTCCTGTGCCTGTAGTTGTACAGCAACAACCACCTGCTCTTCTAGAGATTAAAGAAGGACAAGATTTTACAATTAGTTGTACAGTGCACAGTCATCCTGAACCATGTTACCAGTGGTTCAGAGATAATACAAGACTAGAAGGAGAAACATCCAGTGTATTACATGTAAGTATGTGTAATATTAATGTCAATAAAACTATTTCTTGCTCAAAGAAATATTTTGTTTTAGATAAAACAATTTAATTCTAAATTTGAAGGAAAGTATTACTGCTACATAACTAACAGTGTCAGTGAAGTTTTTACTCAAAGATGTCATGTACTGGTAAAGAGACCACATTTAAAAATAATTCTAAACATACATATATATATGTACTTATACGTATATTTGTTAAATATTAATTTATATTGATATATGTAGATGGATTTACCTCGTGAAAAGGCAGTTGCAAAAATAGCTTTAATTATCGCGAATGGTGATTATGAAAATCATAAATGCCTGAAGACCCCTAAAAATGATGCTGCAAAAATTGGTAACCTCTTGAAGGAGATTGGTTTTAAAGTGATTTGCTTTATGAATTTATCTTTCGAGCAAATGAGAAAAGCTATGAAAATATTTAGTGATGTTTTAACAGAAGGCGTGTATGGTAAGTTACAGATGTAACATAAAAGTATATAGTGTGAACTCAAAAATTGTTTTCAATGTAGGATTATTCTATTATGCCGGACATGGTTTTAAAATGCAAGAAAGTTATATGCTTGCTGTCGATGCACCAGAATCTTATTTAAGGAAAGATGCAATTTGCGAGAGTGAATTGTTAGCTATGTTGTTGCAAAATGATCCTGCTCTTTTAGTAACAATACTGGATATGTGTCAAACTGTACCGCCAAAGTAAGATTTTTTAGTTACCGCCTATTGTTATACACTTGAAAAAGATTTAAATATAAAACCATCAATAATTAATTACTTAAATGCATTTTATCAAAGGATATTGTTTCAGAGAATGCAATCCCGATATTCATAATGAAATACCAAAAGTCAAGGAATTTAAGAGCAGGAAAAATCTACGAAATTTAGTACAAGCGTACTCCACATCTAGTCATCGTCCTAGTTATGAACGAATAAACAGCAAATATGGATTGTACGCGACTCATCTAAGCAAATACATCAGTAAAGATATTCCAGTTACAAAAATATTTGAAGAAGTAGGAAAATGTAAGAGATGTGAAGAAATGTATACATATGATCTTTAGATTTTTTGGTGTTAATTTTGCTAATTTATGTTTGCAGCAATAGATATCTGGTTAAAAGGAACAGAACGTAACCAAATACCAATGTTTGCGTTAACCATTACCAAACCTTTTCGTCTCACTGATGCAATTTATAAAAGTAAGTATATGAGTAAACTCTGCTACTAATCTGTACACGCAATATTTACTTTTTATCTGATACATGTTGTGCATGAATAGATAATTTTTATTGCAGGAAATCCGTCATTCGCGCTGAATAATTTGAATAAATTAGTAACCTTCTCAACGAATTCTTTTGAAATAAACTTCAAGCAGGCTGCTATCTCAGCGAAAGTTACAATCTCATTATTTATGGAACCTTACTTAAACATAATCAAGGTTTCAGTATGTAATTTAGAGGATCTGGAAGTAAATTTTTTTAATTCTGTACCTACAAAACAAAATAACTTGTTTCAAACTGCATTAAAGCAAGAATGTTGGATATGTAATCCACAAATGTGTCAGGTACTATATATATGTAAATTTTATCCGCAATCATATGATACATACTATATATATACTATATATATAGTATATATGATATATAATGTTGATTTTAATATTTTTTAAAAATATATTCTACAGGGACCCTTGGTTGTATCTGTTTCAAAAAATGGATCTCCTATTGGCGCCACATTATTACATATTAAAAATTATATTCCATTAATATTGGAAAATATTAACAGCTAATATATATATATATATATATATGTGGTCAATATTTTTTGATAGAAATAATACTTTTACATTATTGTATATATGAATATTTACATAAAGATTACATAGTGTATATTGTTTTGTATATGCTATATTAGTACTTTTTTATTTATATATATAAAAATATACAAAATAATGTTGAACCACTAGAAATTATTTTTCAATAACAACGAGTAATTAAACAGATCAGTACAAGCTTTTATTTGAAAAACTATTTTTTTCTTACAAATATATTTATGACAAAGTAAAATGATTGACCAATGTCGCAATCCAAGGACCTCCAATGTTATTTACATATTTACGAGTAAATGTATAATTACATACTAGATGAGCATGTTCTGTAAGTTCTGCAAATCCTGTTCTAAACATTTTCTCCTTTTTTGCCTTACCAAAACCTGGGATATAATGGCAAGTTGTTGTGATTTCAATGGAATGCTCGTTACCTATACAAAAAAATACCTATTCAATATATTCCTGATTATATTACAATACTGACTTAAGAACTATTTGAACTGTTTAAACTATTTGAACCTGTTGTAGCTGCGATATCAGACAAAACGTAAAACAGAATATCATTCTTATTCAATTCGATCAGCTGTCTTTCATTAGGACTCAAGGTTTCGATTTTTTCCCTTAAAATCTCAATCATATCTTCTGCCACAAGACCTTCTAAAGATTCAAAGTTCTTACTTGCTAAAGCCTTAGATATTACTTCAGACGCCTGGAATGGCAATAACCGTTGTTTATTAATGTGTAAACGATACTTTTTCAATCAGATATAAGAAATCGTACACATTTGGCTCCTTGAAGAAATTCAGCTGCATTAAATTCTTTATCTATGTATGGAGTAATTTTAAAGGCCGATAAATATATAAGTTTTAAGGGGGTTATAAAAGATGGTATCGCCATAGGAGCCGCTTCTACGAGCGTAGGTAAAGTAACCCGCGATTCGGAATCACGTTTGGTGCTGTAAATTCTACAGGCAGCAAGATGTGGAAGCGAAGTAGACAGTAGATTTGACTCATTGTTGTATCGCGCGACCTTTGTTTTGGTTTTATTTCTCGAGATAACACATGCCGCGACTCGTCGCAAATTGTACGGGACACTTCTCCTAATTATCGAAACTAACATTGTAACTTGTGTGAGTTAACGCAAACCTCTTATGTGAACATCAACTACAGTGATGTTTTTCTAACCTTACTTTTGGTACTATTAAAATTACACATGCGCAAAGTAGAATTTGCTAAGATGCACTTAGAATTCCATCCAGAATGTCTGATATTAGGCGTTGTTACCGATACTAGGCAGAAGGTATATTTTTCGTGTAATTTCTCGCAAAACATATTTTATAGGCCAATAATTATCAGTAATAGTTCTTAAAGATTTTTGTAATTAGCGCCAACAAGAATGTCGCTCTGCATTTGAAAAGTTACTATATCAGACGATTCAAGAATCACAAAATATCTCTAGAAACGATGAACGTCATATTTAAGATATCACATTTATTTTAAACTCTGCTTCTCGACCATTGTTGAAGCGTATTATTTTCAAATAAATAATCCATCTAACCTATCGATGAAATATATTTATTTGAAAATAAAAGTATATTTCTGATCCGTCATTGAGTTACACTATTTGAAGTTAGAGGGCCGACAGTCCAGTGTTCGGCGGAATTAACGGGACGAGTGCCATACCAAAGTATTTATTACTGAGAAATAAAAATTCATCGGAGACCTGATACGTTAAATTATATTATTAAAGAGTAAAAATAAACTGAATAGTCTCCAGAATATTTGAAGCAAAGTATGTATACGTAGGAGCCATGTGCCCAGTAAAACTTTGTAACGAAACTTAGATATAATCAGTTGAGGTTAATTATTAATTGGTTTGTATTAACTTTGAAAATACTGAAGAGAAAAGAGATACTCGATTTTTCAACGAAAAGAGAATTGAATATCGTTTTATTTATTTCAGTTTCAGTTATTTTTTATTTTATAAAGCGTGTGTCGCATAACGATTGAGATTATTAGATGAAATTAAATTTTAACAGATCTGAAGGAAGCAAAAATGAGGTTAATATCGAGCTTGTTACAACGTAGCATGGGGGAGTGGTCAAAAAAATATGCAAATTTACCAGACTCCTATATTAAACGATGTTTCGAACAGGTATAGACAATTATATTACGTAGGAAACAATACAGTATATGTTACTCTGATGATATTTGATAGTATTTTGCCATTCAATTTTGAACACATGTATCTCTTATTTCTTATTAATTTATGCAATATGATTAGTTTGATTGGAAAACACCCCGTGGAAAACCCAATTATTTGCCACGTACAATTGGAAGGAAACGATTTTATTTCTCTATACATCGTCCATGGACTTCGCAGTTTCGTCGTGATAATTTATATGGTCATAATCGCAAATTCATCCATGTTGAACCCATTAAGAACTGGTCCTTTTTTCGTGGTGACAGGGTACATAAATCTTTTGTACTTATAAATTTAAATTTATAAAAGTTCTCAAGAAGAAATAATTGTTATTATTTAAGAATATTAATCCTGTGAATATGAATTATTATATTTCGCATATACAGGTGGAAATTTTAGTAGGAACGGATAAAGGAAAGCAAGGAATCGTAAAAGAGATCTACCAAGAAAGGAATTGGGTCATTGTCGAAGGACTTAACACAAAGTTGAATGTCATTATGAAAAGCAGAAATTTTCCTGGTTTATACATGCGACAGGAGCTACCATTATTAGTAACCACAGATGTGCAATTGGTTGATCCTTCAGACATGCAAGTTCATCATTTTCTTGAAATTATTTTATGAAAAATTTATAGACGAAACACATCAATGTTCCTTTACATAAATTACATGTGTACTCTATGATGTGAATCTAATTATTATAGGCAAGGAACACCAATAGAATGGCGGTACACGGAAGATGGCAAGCATGTACGCGTATCTGTGAGGACTGGTAGAATAATTCCTATACCTTTCTCCAGTGAAGAAACGAAAGATTACAAAAGTGCTAAATTATACGTAGAACAACCGAAAGATACAGTCAGAGATGAAGTGTTAACAGTAACTTTTAAGGTACGTAATGTATAGACACAGGAATATTTCTTTTAAATTTATATCCTTTTGTATCTGTAAATTCTGTTAAAAAGTTGAATGCATTAAATCGATATATTTCATTGTGGTGTGTAAAATAACAAATACGCTATATGCAATGTGACAAAGATGTTACTGGTATATAAATGTATATCATTTCGAACAAAATAGCTATATTTTTTTTATTCACAGCCGGAGTTAAGGACTTTTGAGATGGATATCATGGAGAACATGGGTATTAAAGAAGATCGTGTTCCAAAGAAATGTTATTGGTATTGATCATTGCTATATACAATTTGCTGTTATTATGGTTTTTAATGTACAACTATAATATTTAATAAATATATTAAGCGAACACAAAGAAATTGAAACATAGTCATTTTTCAATATAACATCACGTAAGAAAACAATTCTTTTTTTCTTACACAATTCGAATGGAAAGGATTGTTCCCATGGATGGATTCAATGTAATTCATCCGGAAAATTTTAACGTGTATTGCGTGAGAAATTTTGTCTTCAGCATAAACTATATTATAAAGAGTGTCGCTGTTTACAATATGTTTTACACGTATGGTAGAAAGAATGTGATAAAAAAAGCACATTCGTAACATTAAACATTACGAAAGCAAATAGCTGAATATTTCATAATGAATTTATACAGTAGTTTAAGAAATATCTAATAATATCGCGATTAATTTCTTCTTTTTTAATCAGCAACTGTTTACGCTAAATCGTGACACTCACATATATATCACAGCACGAATTTTAATAAATGCAAATCCAAAAAAGCAATTCATATTATGTTTAAATATATTCCAATATATATGTATATGTATATACATATACATATACACACCTTTATATTAATAATATATATTTGTTATATATATTATACATATGACACCTCTTTCCCTTAGCTCTGCGCGGTTTCAGTTATGCAGTTCCAATTACGATTGAAAGTAAATTAATGCTATTATGATTTAACGTTGATTCACACACGCGCACACACAACACACATACCAATAGAATATCAGTTAGAAATTTAACGGCACGTGGCGATAGACGTAAGAATATAACAGAATACTATTTCAGGGACTCGAAGCATATTAGGGGTGATAAATTGCTCTTTAAATCAACCCGGCTGGCTAATTTCCGCGAAAGAAAAGATAAAATTTCATTTCACAATCTCAAACTGTTAAAACTTAAATTTGAATTTGATTGGAAATCGAACTTTTTTATATATTCGCCAACTGAAATTTAATTGGCCATTGTGAGAACCAATGTCCATTTGCTGCTCAGTTCACTCGATAGACGGGTTGCGACATGTTCGCCGGGAATGGCCAACGGTCAGTTTAACTCGTTCGCGTCGTCACTTTCGGTCGCTTTTCTTCTCGTGCTGAGATTCCGAGCTCTCTTCGATCGTTCACGTAGCGACTTTGATGAGTAAGCAGGTAACACTGATTGACCGCTTCTTGTTGAATAATTATGTTAAATAAAGGTACAAATGAGGCATCTCAAAGAGAGATAAATTCTGTAATCGAAATACATGCTTGTATGAATGTTAGATAGAGTTCGATAGATGTCAATGTGAGATGAAAATGTAACCGACGCGAGTAATAGCGTATTTTCCGCGCGGTTCAACGCGAAGTACCCTTTTCCCCTTATCGATTCGACATATACTAGGCTCTGAATTTCCTATCGAAATAAATATGCATAGTAATCAGAAATATGACGAAAGAGGCTATGCACAATGGCAGGAAGTAACTTTCTCTTTCTTTTTAGCAACGAGACGAGCCGGGAAGGTTATCAGAGAGTCCTTCGACAGAGACCTTCTTTAATATAATCATCAGCCGTTTTTTCCTATTTACGCGGTAAGTCTTTGTGAAGTCCTCGTCCAAGGTACTCTTATTACATACATATACATATATATATATATATATATTCCGTTCTGTTATATCCATATTACGCATACGGAAGCGACTAATGTCGTGATCAATGCGCATACTCAGAATAAAATATTCCATATTCAAAGGCATATATCAGATGTCATACATGTCCTAACATTCATTCAGTAAGGTTTTCAACAATTTTCCTTATGCATAAAGTTGGAAGTCGTATAATTAATTTTTATTATAATGCTAAGGCACATATAACGTCTGATGAAATATCCTCGTATAATTGAAGAATTTATTTCAAAATGGCCTTAAATCCACATGTTAGATAAATGGAAATTTTATATATATCTATTGTTTATTATTATTATTATTATGTATCTAACAATAGTTTCTCACAATTTTATAACACGTTATTTTTATTTCATATAAAAATATGCACGTAAGACGATTTAGAAATAAGTTCTTCGATTATATGTATTGCTGTGGACATATTCGTGGCCACACTTCTTATTTTAGGAGTGTTGAAAAAGAATCACAACTTTTCTATTCGCGAGTATACAAATGGTCTGTTCTTTATAGCTGCACTGCTGAACTGATGCAACAAGTTGAAATGAGAAAACATATACTTGTCTCACTTCAACTTATCGCACTAGTTTAGCAGTGCAGCTTTAAAGAACAGACCGACAGTTTCGCCAAGACACTTGATTTTTTGTATCGCTTTTAACTAAAACTGCTGAACTTAAGAGAATCATAAAGAATCGATCTAATTATATCAATTTTAATAGCGATTAACGATATTATCTCGCTACGATAACACAAGAAATAAGTAATTACCACTAATAACTGTGACCGGGCAGCAAAAAAAAGTGCCTTTGTAGGAAAACTTACTCGTATGATCTTATTTGCGTTAATGTTCAGAGAACTGAAATAATGTACCCTCGTGTTACTCGACGCTACATGGCGCATCACTGCGATCTTATGCGAAATATATTCTCTATCTCGTTCGTATCTTAAAGAGTAAATCAACAGGAACCACTATAATAAAGCAATAGGGTGGCTACACGGTAAAGTCGATCGGAGAAGTAAGCGATCTACTAAGGGATTCGTACAATCGGGCTTGTATTTTAATTATATACTCAGTGCTACTTGCTTGTATCGCAAACTTAATTCGAACTATTACTGCACGGCCGGCACTATGTAATTAATGTCGTACGAACGACGTATCGACGTTGCTTCTAAACGATTAATTGACATGCCTATTTACTTCATTTCAGTAACGTTACGGTTCATTGCGTATGGCATACATCAAATTTTCATGCGCATATCTCGTTGTTAAAATACTAATCGATACGCTGCATCGTGGTTGCATCTCAGTGAAATGCTCGTGATTATATAACGTGTGTAACAAATCGTTCATTATTCGGCGTCTAATCATTGCGTATCATCGCGGTTTACAACAGCGCTTGGAATTTGTTAATTAAAATCGAGATTCGCGTCTTCTTTAGATCTGCTTTCACTGTCACGTGTTCTCCGTATCTCTAATAATAAGCCAATTGCACGAAACCATTGCATTGCACCGCAAATTTACACGCACGATACTCTAATTTACTACTAATTACGTACAAGATAATATCTGCTAAAAGTTTAACACCTACAAGGCGCCCGATCAGAAGGCAAAATAAATTAGCAAATTATAAACTTGCGTCGTGCACATTTTTTTTACTTTCTGCTTAATTATGAGTTCGTCCATCAAACTGAAATATGATAGATTACATCATGTAACTATCAGAGCAACGGATATATACGATAGCTATTTAATTCGTAGTTCTCGGGCACTTTGAAAATGTTGTTTCATAAATTAGCGATATTGGTCCTCGCAATTTTGACTACAAAGCGATATCTTATAACATGTATAAGATATGCAAGTCCGTAACTGATTTACAAATTCTCCCTGTTTCTCACGCGTTTAGACGTGAAAACGAGCTCCTATAACGTTACGATTCAAACCCGACAAAGAACAGCTTCTCTCGCTAATATCGAATTTGATATTTCTCGGATAACAAATTGACGCACGTTATCGACCATTATACCTATTTTAACGAATATCGGCCGAGAAATTATGCAGTCACTTGCTTGGCACATTCCTGCACTCTGTTCGCACCGTCGCAGTCCGAATGGGGAATTACTTCCGTCTCACGAGGACTTGGTGGCAGGATGCCTGACTAGGAGATTCACTTCACCGTCGTGTAGCTTTTTCATCAAGGACCACGCTTCTATCCTCGACATTCGCGTCACGTCGTTGCCGTTCACTTCGAGCAGTTGGTCCCCGGCTCTCAATGCGCCTGTTTTCTCAGCGGCACCTCCTGCAACGAGATAAAGCAAAGATAAAGATTGTCGTCACAACAGACAGTCTTACATTAATATCTATTATCTTATCTCATTATTGCTCGATGTAACGCAATCGTTATCGTGATGTAATCGACTTTATTTGTTACGGTCCTACGACCGCACATCGATAGAGTACGTCGTGCGAGATACGCGTGTAATTTTACCGGTGAATATCTTCTTGATGATGAGAGGTCTATCCCCGAGGGGGCTGTCCCTGCCGCCTTCCAGACTGAATCCCAGACCAGCTCCGTCCTTGTAGACCGCCACGGTCGAGGGTGGTCCCCACGCGGTGTCCTCGACGCTCCCATTCGTCTCCAACCCTGAAATCAGAATTCTCTCTCTTGACCCGCGTCTTCTATCGTCATTAACGAGACGCCAAGAACTGTGAGACTGCGCGGAATAAAAGAATCAGTCCCCACAGCTAAAAACTAGCTGCCACAAGTAAAAATTATCTGTCCATGCAATACAACTGAAATTTACTTTAATTAACTTTAATTTCTCCCTGTATTTTTCATTCCCACAGCTAAAAACCAAGTCCGCTAAATTTCAGTTGTACTCCTCCTTTTTTCTCGTGCGGGAATTCACGCGCGTGTTCACCTTCGACAATGGTCTCGACGCTCGCGGTTCGCGATCTCAGCTTGCAGCCCTCCTCCATCCTGGCCCTCGAAACGACCAGGACGACCTCCGACCTCGGCTGCTTCAGCACCGCCATGCTCTCCCTGTGTGTGAGGCCCCGCGTGCTCCTGCCGTTTATACTGAGGATCCTGTCGCCTCTCTGCATCCGGCCGTCCTTATCCGCGATCGAGTGCGTCAGCACTCGATGCACCGTGATCTCCTTCACCTCGCAATCCGCGCCGCCGGCCAGGGTGATGCCGACGCTGCCGGTGGGATTCTCCTTGTGAAGGAGAACAACCACGACGTCGTGGGCGCCGCGCGCCTCCTCCAGACTCGCTTCCTCCACCAGCTGCGCCAATTCCTGCTGCGAGATCAGGCTGGTACTGCTAGCCAACGAGCTGATACTGCCGAACTGTTCGCCGTAGCACCTGTCGGTGTCCGTGCCGACCGCACCCCCCACGTTCTCGTCCACGCTACTGTCCAGACTCGGAAAGCGATTGTGAGCGCCGGAGTGCTGCTGCGTTTGGCTGTGGTGAGAGCTCGCCGCGTCGATCTTCTCCAGAGCCTTCTTCATGTCGGTGACGCTGGCGCTGCGTCGATTCAGCCCGCGGGACGTCGGGATCTTCGACATCGCGCTCTTTGTCCTCTCTATGGTCTCCGACATCTCGTCGCCGCTGTCGACCGGCCTGACTCTTCCTAAAGTGGGTATCTTCGAGACGAAAGGCCGTTCCTCCGACCAAGAATCGTTCGAGGCGGCGGAGCCTCGTCTACCGTATCGACTTTCCCTCGGCTCCCAGTTAGACTTCGCTTGCGGGCTCAACATCGCGCCGTTCTTCTCGATCTTCGGATCCATGCTCGGCGCGCGGAGCATCTTCGGGTCCGCTTTGGCGCCCAGTATGTCCTCCAGGCTCATCTGGCTCCTCGACCTGCCGAAGGTCCCCTCGTCGACGTGTATCGCCGATCTGGATCTGCTCTTCGTCGTTAAGATCGTCAGGAGGTCGTTCTGATCCTCGGCGCCCTTTCTAGAAGCCAAGCTCGCCCTACACTGTTGCTTCGCCGTCTCCGCTGCGGCGATCTTCGTTTCCTCCATCGTGGTTCTGTTCTTCGAGGACAAACCGCCGAGGGGAGCCGCGTTAACGGCCTCGTTGAACATCGAGCCACGGCTGCTCTTCGTCGTGTGAATCACAGGCGACGCGTCCAGGTTTTGAGGCGCGACGGGCGGCGTTTTGTCGTACTTCCTCGACTTCTCTTCCGCGGAGCGCGCCAGGGTCTTCGCCTCCGCGCGCACCCACATTTTCATATCGTTCGACGCCTCCAGCATCTCGGATTTCGGCGGTCTGATGGCGGGCGGGGGTACGCTTCTTTTGGGCGGCAGCTTCGGCTCCTCGAGCTTCTTCTGAAACAACGAGCCCTCGTCCTCCGCGAAGGGATCCGCGACTTCGATGTAGGCTATCTTGACGTCCTGTTTGCTCACGGCCTCGTTCCCGGGATCGTTGACCCTCGGGTGAACAGCACCGCCGTTTTCGACGGCTCTCGCAGCATCTTCGTCGTCGGAGAACTTCCGTTGAATCAGCGGCGAGCCATTCAGATCCCTGCCGCTCCGGCATCGGGCGCTCGCCAGGATGTTCTTGCGATTGATCGCCTCCACGCTCTGCGGCTTGAGCACCCGCCTGGACAACGACTCGGCACTGGCCTGGGAGCCGGATGTGAGTGTCGAGGACGTGCTGCAGTTCGTGTCGGTGCTGTTCGACCGCCTCAGCTGCCTCTGCGGGATCTGCGAGTTCCTCGAGCTCGCGAGCTCGTTCGGCTGCGGTGATCGCGGGTTCGAGCCGCTGCTGCTGGACGACGATCTCTCCGTGAGGTACGTACGTTCGCCGAGAACGCCGATCCTACCGCCGAATTGGTCCTTGTCGACGCTCGCCGAGTCTCGGACGTCCCGCGCCGAGGCTCTGCTCACGTTGTCCGCGATCAAAGGTCGACGTTGGTAGCTGAGTTCCGTCGACACGTAGGACCTCTCCGAGGAGATGGTGGATCTCTCGGACGGCACCGGGGACATCGGCGGGCTGAAGCCGCGAGATATGCTGCTCTGAGAGCTGCTCACGGCGGAATCGTTGTCGGAATCGTCGTAATCCAAGCGAGCCCTCCGTTGCATCGTCTTCGGCCTGGTGCGCGTGCCGTCCGGCGAGCTGGTCGCCGAGGCGAACTCGAAGCTGTAGTCGCTCCTCGTCGGACTGCAAATGCTCTCCAGGCTTTTCGGCGGCTCCGAGAACGCCGGCGTCGCGCTCTGTTGAGGATTGCCCTTGATCGGGCTGCCGTTTATCGAGGAACTCGTCGTTAAGGACGTGCCGTAAACCGTCAGGGATTTTCTCTTGAAGGCCGGGGAGTACTTCGAGTGTATCTGAGGCGCCGGCATCTTGAAGGACGTCGTCGCTTTTAAAGGCGCGCTCGCCGTGCTGGCGTTGCTGGCTATGGAACTTTGAGAGCCCCATTTGTCCTGAATGTTCGCCTTTGGCATCTGAAAAAGGACACGATGATGCATTTCTGTGAATCTGCCAATAACATGCCGAGGATTTGCACTGAAAACAGTTTACAGTTAGATGTAATATTTTAATTTACTTCCGAGTTAATGGCACGTCCTTCGTGGATCGGTTTCCGACGTTTCGTGAACATTTCGGTTTATTTCCACGTGAATGAAGAACGACTTGAAACTCACCCCGAAAAAGTGAGCCGAAATGTTCGCGAAACGACGGAAACAAATTCATGAAGGACGCGACGCTACAACTCGGAGGCCAATTTAAAGATTTCTCCATACCGCGAAAGGCTGAAATATCAAATTAAGTGTAATATTCGCGCATCGATGCGTCCGTCTCTTACCTGATGTAGCAATATCGAGTCTCGTGATTTAATTTCCGGCAGGTCGACGATGGGCTGATCGATCGGGACAGGATCCTTCTCCGGTATGACCAGGCCGCGTAGTTTCGATATCGATCGCCGCCTCTGTTCGATCAATTGATTCAGGCTGCTTCTTCGCGCGTCTTCCCCGGGCCGCCTAAACGTGGATGCCAGCGAATTCGTTCTTGCGATTTGTGAGTTATTGATTGACTCAGCTGTCAAAGCGCTCCGATCTTGCACGAAAGGCGTCGAGCCTGAGAAACTCGTAGCGCGCATCAACGAGGACGTGCTCGGTGTCTTGGATAAGCTGTTGGAATTGTTGCAAGGGCCCACAGCTTTATTGACATTCGGATACGCGATGTTCGGCTGTAAGTTGCCGCTGCTCTCGGAGGCGATCGTGCAGTAATTCTTCGTCGTCGCGTTCGAGAAGGTCTGCTTGTCGTACGAAGGCGCCAATGGATTGGACAGCGACGTGTTTTTCGGCGGAACAACCGGTAGCGTCTTCGGGACACGCGTAGTCGACGTTGTCGGGCTCGAGAGAGCAGGCTGAGCGGTTTGGGGCAAGCTCGGCGCTCGCTGACTATATTTTCTCGTTGAATCTTGCATGCTGGAAGTTCTGGCCGAATCGGTGAGATCGAAGGAGCTCTGCGTCCTGTCGGCGAAGAACGACGACCGGTCCTTTTGTCCGTTGCTCTTATCGTCGCAGCAAACGTCCTCGGAGGACTTGTACTTGGAGAGGCGTTTGCCGTTGCTCGTTACCGCCGCCGCCGCCATGGCGTTGGGGAACAAAGGCGCGTCCAGGCTGCTCTGTGACGAAAACATGGCGATTTTATCTCTGACGGACCGCTCGGACTTGTCGTCCTGTCTCCAGAGATCGCCGTTCAGAGAGAACTTCCTCTGCGGCGATTCCATCGTAGGAACGTTTCTGGCGTGTACAACTGTTTGCTCCATTTTCGGCGGACCTGTAATAAGCGTTATAATACAATTTTCATCAAGAATTTAGAAATGCAAAAGACAGAAGTGATACAAAAGTGTGACGGGGTCAAGATTTTAAGGGGGAAAAAAAATGTCGAAAGAGTATTTCGTCGTATCTATTTTTACACACTTTCTCTCTCTCTCTCTCTCTTTCTCCGGGAGATAAATCAAAATCATTAAATTAACGTAATACGTTTATTTTTTCTCTGATATGTCAGCATTGTATTCGGCGGGGGCAAATGAAACGAGGACAGAGAGGAAGACAGGTTGAATCAAAAGTTAAACACATACCGGTTAATGGCAAAGGCGGCGGAGAATCAACAGGCGTGTCCTTTTCCACATGGCTTGGCACCTCTTCGATCGCCGCGACGTCCTTGTGATAATAAGCGGCAATCTCCATCTTCTTCTCGCTCATCAGTAGATTGCTATTATTCGTTTGACAATACGGGGAACTCGCCGCGACGGTGGCGGAATTTTTCCTCGCCGTATCTTCCGAGGCCTGATAAGTCGAATTCCTCTCTTCGTTAGGCATCTCGGACTTCGTGTCCTGACACACATTATCCACGCTGGCCGCAGCGGTGGTCTTGCTCTCCGAGCGAGCGTTCTCCATATTTGCCAAAGCGACTTTGTTGATGTCCTGTCTCACGTTTTCCGCGCTCGTCGTCAGCGTCATTTTACTATCGGACAGGATGATGCTCCTCGAACCGACAACGTTGCTGTCGTTCGCGAGCATCTTAAAAGTCTCGCTACCACGGAACGGCTCGTTCTCGTTGCACAATCCGCCATTCGCGGTTATCGTCGCTGTCCTTGCCGTCGCGGCGATGTATCTGTAAGGCTGGCTGCCGCCGCTGAACTCTTGGTACGCCGCTGGAAATTCGTCCCCGTCCGGGGGCAGGCGCTGGCCGCCTCCGCAGTTCTCCATCTTACCATTTACCGTGTCTGGAACAGAATTTTTCGAGTGCGCTCGATATTAGAGGAGTTCAAGTGCCGTAGAGATGTTTGAGACTCAATTAACGTCCGGCCGCGACCGTTTCAGCTGAGATTCGCTTCGGGCTTGAATTCAGCCGGTCGAAGGAAATTATGTAAATCGACGACGTTAACATTTATTCGAGAGGAGACGAAAGTTGATTCTATATGAAATAAAACATATAAAAGTTGTTATAATTAAATAAACAATAACGAAATATATAAGCTTGACTTATGCAATCCTTACTAAGGTATTCTAGTGGGCTGTGAGATAATGAAATTGTACGCTTGTCGTTTCTATCACATATTTGACAAGCTGTCGTTCGTATAGAATGTCTGTGCCGTTTTCTGATAAGGTAAACGAATTCAAGGTGAGACTGCGCCGATGGAATTTGAGTAGCGCTGTCCTCGTCGCTCGCTCAAATATCACGTAGATCACGTGAATTCTTCTTGCGGAAGACTCGAAACGAAAAACGTTCCCGTGCTTCTCGCGCAGAATCTTGATATTTTACACTCACACTGAAAGAGGAAGCTCAATTGCTCAAGAATTCCGCGATATTCCTTTCAGACGTCATTTCTTTTTTTGCTACACGGAAACGCAATGAGAGAATGTTGGCTAGATTTTTTCTGCGGAATCCTTAAGTATCCGTGAAAACGGTGCAGTCATCTTTTTTCTCTTTATTAAACGCGCTGTTACGCCATGCTCTAAAAATTTGCTCAGAGCAGGAAGTGCATCGACAGAAACATACGCGCCATCAAATAGCGAGCGGGCAAACCGCACCGTGAGTGATTCATCGCTCGCGTATCGATACATTACACATCGCGCGGTGAGTGTATTGTCGTTCAAAAAAAAATGACATCATCTCTTCGCATTTACACACTCACGTTGTCTCATGAGACGAGATCTCGCGATTTCTCACGTTTCGCGTTCGCGTTTGTTGTATTATCTCGGAGAAAATTCAGTCCGTGGCGAATTTTTTTTTTCTTTTTTTTTTCCGAAAATCTTCACGCTGCATGCCTGAGAATACGTGGTTCGCAAGTAGAGAGAAAAGCGAGCGCGAAAGTTCCCCGGCAAGTTCCTCCTCCAAGTTACGTTTGCGCCGAATTTCACGGCGCTCCATTTATCGAGGAGACCCCGTCTCTCCGCTCGTAGATTCGTGCTTTTCCCGCGCGAAATGCGCGACCCCAAGGATTTCTACATTCTAACGCGCGCGCCTACTGATAAAACATTTGCATACGCGTTATCTATTCTAAGCAGTAGCACTCAAATCGAGCGCGTTAACGACGCTGTTAACGACGTGACTACTCTCTCTCTCTCTCTCTCTCTCTCTGTCACGATGCAAATCGTGACATAATGCCGCACTTTGGATTTCTGTACGTGGTGCGCGCGCGAGAACGTCTCGAGCATCGCGAAATACGCACGGGAGCGGAATTCTGAAAACCGCGACTCTACCTTCTCTCAAGTGCAGGTTGCATGTAATTCATCGGTGTCGCACGGTGTCGCATTGCCGGGCCGCCGGTTACGTGTGTGTGTGCCCGCGGAACTCCGGTGCGATTTTTATTCGCAGTTAATAAAGCGCGCCGCGCCGACTCCTGATTAACATTCCCGGCATAGCACGATGTAACTAATCACCGATACCACGTATGCACGTGCAATAGATGCAACTTGCGCGCGCGCTGCCCGATGCTTCCCGAACGATCGTACCATATTTGTACAGGTATCAGGGACACCGCGCGTCATCGTATGCGTAAATGTACGATGCGAGTACGCGTGCTCGTATTTATGGACGGGGGGGGGGNGGGGGGGGGGGGGGGGCACCTTGTTGTGCGTGTAATTCGGGATTTATGTTGTATTTACTTCGAGCTCCGATTCACAACGATTTGCCCGCGCGATAAGTATGCGAAAGTAATACCTCGTCGCGAATACCGCCGTGTTCGAGGAGTCGATACGTCGATTTGCTCGGGTGGAACAGGTGACGATGGAGATAATAATTACCGCGGAACGATCGTGACGTCGAGGTAAAGTATGAGAGGTTAATCATTCATCAGTGATGCAAAATTTCGGGGCTCGCACATGTGTCGGGACGATAAAGTAGTAAAAGCGATCGCGAGCGATCGGACATCGTCCCATATTTCCACCTGCGCTCGGCAAATATTTGATCACGAATTTGCGATGAAGTTATAATTATCGTATTATCGACGCGATCAGTCAGATCACGTGCGAGCGGCGTACAAATCGACAGCACACCTTCATCTGCTGTCTTTTCTTTTCTCTCTCTCTCTCTCCCCTCTTCCTCTTTCTAATATGCCGTTTCGATAAATTATTGGGAAACCACCGTGCGTGAAAGCGAATACATAAAAACGACCGAATAACGTGCGCTCTCTCGTTGCTGCGCCGAGATGAAATTAACCGATTAGTGAAAGAGTCTCTTTAAAAATTAACAATACCTGATTATGCACGCCGCGTGTACGTGCACAACGTCCAGAATTCGTGGGATCGAGTTCCGGGCCGCGCAACCACTTTGCGCACATTAAGCTGGCCGGCGACTAGTTTTAATCATCGAAAGGTGGCATAAACTCGACGGGCGATTACGGCGAACTTTCACGGTGGAAGAAGTTCATCGCGCGTTTCGCGAAGCTTCGGCGCGAGAGGCCGGCCGGAAAAACGGTTGGTGTATCCCTCGTCGTGGAATGACGGCAGGAAACAATGGCACAGGTTCGTCCGCTCGTGCCGGCAAGAAGGCTGTCGTAAGACTGGGGCGACATTGCTCGTCGAGGCCAGCTTCCGCAGTTAGCACCGAGCGCTTTCGAGTGCGGAGAAGAGAAGGGATAGAGGCTCGCATTTAGTATGCCATCGTGGCCGCGCTTTTAGCTTTTGCACTTAGGGGAATTATGCTCTCTTTTGCCGTGCTATTATACCGTAAAGAAAAAAAAAAATAAACGCAGTCGCTCGCGATTTCTCATCCTCGAATCTTGGTGCCCCGCAACAGCGTTTTCCCTACCGAACGCATCGGAATGCCGCGGCGCACAGTGCGGTGCATTGTACACGGAGGTGCGGAAGAGGCTTCATACTCTTCGGAATTTCTGAATATACCTTGTGATCTCATTCTTTTATGTTTCTTCTTGAAATTCCACGTTCGTGCGGAGAGTGATATTAAGACATCTGTATAACGTAGATTTGGAATAAGAATAATTATATCGATCTATGATTAGATTGATCTCACAATCGCGCACGCACGTTACAAAGGAATTATTTTGTAGTTTCTTGTTGAATAATAATTACTAAGAGTATTATATTAAGAAATATTTCATATTAATATATTACATTATATGAGAGTAACAATTACAGCTAAAGTTGCGAGAAGCAACACGTAATTTTTATATGACGGATTAGTAATAGTATTTATCGAAAAATATGATCAAGAGCTTGGAGGAAAGTAAAGCATTTTTTATAGACACGATGAAATAAACTTGAAATTTTAGATATCACGTTATAAGCGCTGTAATAAAATTTTTGTTGAGAACTTGAGAAAAGCAATTATGTCACATGTAAAGTAAGACTATACACATTTGAAATACATGAGATATGTTCGGTTAAACAATCATTACATAATAGTTACACTGATAAAAAAGTACTTAAGAATTTATTTGTGGGATGTAAGGTGTATTTCATAGAAATAAGGTTTATTTCTGTAAAATAAGCTTTATGTCCCACAAATAAATTTTTAAGCACTTTTTCCTAAGTGCCGAATATAAAGGTCTATCTTTACAATTTGAGTTTTTTTCTTAAATCAAATGAATAATCGTGTGCATTTTTAGAAAAAAAGAAATACTCATCATTAGATATCTCAAAATAGCAGTCGATACAAACATTATTTTTAAGATTTTAAGTTCTTTCCACCTCCGCACCAGTGTACGGCGTACAACTCCCTCCATTACGGTGCCTCACACGTCCGCAGGATTTTGACTTTTTATTTTCGGCCGATCGAAATCCTGCATCGTGAATGCGCGTTCGTGAGTGCCGGCCCGGCAGGAGAGGCACGACGATATCTCCGGAATGCGTCTCGATCTGTGTCTCACGCGCCAGTTCGCGGATGTCGTTCGAGTTGCTACGTGAGTCGATTAATCTTGCGGAATGTGTCAACGGCGTGGTGCCCGCTAGCGAGATGAAGAGATTCCAAAACGGCTCGCCCACTGCAAAAAGAAGTCGTAGGACGCGAACCGGAAGATCTATGCTGCTGTTTACCGCTACGCGATATCGTCGGCTTTAATACGAAGCAACGATTTTGCCATGCCGCTGAATTACGTCGCGCGTATCTCCGTGGGCGAACGACGACGTGATTCACCGACGGGCACGGCGAAATGTATCGACCTGCTCGTTTAATAACCAAGCCAAATCAGTATTTAAAAGCTTAATCGTATCATGAGATGTTCATTCAAGAGGGAGACTTTCGCGATCTGTCTCGATCGAGCTCGCTACGAATTTTGTATTCCGTTTTTTCTTTTCAATATCCTCTCTGCGTTACGAAACGAGTTGTTGCGAGAATTGCAAGAATTCCCGACACAGAAGCGATAGGGATTGCTAAACGACCCTCGAAAATGTAATCGCGTTGCTTTATCACCGCCAGGGATAATTCTTATTACGTACACGTCTTTATATTTCGGTGCTAACATACAGATACGATAATGGTGCGGTTACACACCGTACAAATTGCAGCCGTAAATTACGTCATTATGCATATGGTTCCCCGAGACGTGAGTTCGCGCCTGTCTCGCAACCGCGAGACGGCTTTCTTTGTCGTGCTGTCGGTTTTGGAAAAGAAAGGCGGCCGCAAAATCAATGCCGCCGTCGCTAAAAGCCACTTGTCCTTGGCACGGAGATCCGAATCGCTCAGACGCGCGCGTGCGAACGCGCGTTGCGTCAATGTACGCTGGAAGTGTAAAACCTTGTAACGCGATTATTAATTGTTATTTTTATCTTCTCTCTAACGACGGCCTTTTCGCCGTTCGTGTCGTTCGGCCACGGCGACACTCGCGTCGTCGTCGTAAAGTGCGCTCGTGACGCGGATATATCGTCGTGAGCGTGAAGCAACGCGTTTAGTAAAACATGCCCGCGAGTCATAGCGTAAATCACCGATTTTCAGGTACTGAATGAAGCGCGACCGTCCACCGTATCCGACTCTCTTTCTCTTCTCGTTTCTTTTTTTTTTCTTTTCGTTTTCAACATTAGCGACTAACGCTTCACGGGAAGAGATTGGGCAACGTAGATTAACTCTTTCGGAACGGCCGGTAGATTTTGGTGACCGCAAGGTGTATTTTATTCCGAGTCTCGAAGATGTAGCAATGACACAGGTATCAAAGATTTCGACGAGATCCACCTCTCTCGTGTCGATCGATAGAATTTAAATCGAGTTAAAAGTCCCAAGGAGATTGGGTAGTCTCGCACGGGAAAAGAAATAAGCCGTCTGTATAATACGGTTGAAATTTAGTTACCAGATCTAGTTTGTAGCTGTGAGAAACTAGGTACTGGGACAAAAAAAGTAACTAAATTAACATAAATTTCAGTCGTATAGACAGTCAATTTTTACCTGTGGGAGCTAGTTTTTAGCTGTGGGAACTATTTCTTTTATTCCCATGCGATGAACAACATATTATTGTGTGTGGGTAGATTCTCCTCTCAATTTACGGCAGCAAAGGTATTTTAATTGTTGAGTATACCGAGAACTCCGGCCCGTCTAAAAATTATTAGAAGGGTGGATATAGAAGCCTTTCCTAATGTTACGGTCGCGGTCAGATGAATGAGGAATTTGAGGAGGGGAAATCTATTTTGAACACGTGGGTGAGGGAGGTCGTGAACTCCTGGTTGGTAATGGACTGCGCTAGGAGATTCTTCGGGTTAAATGTAGAAGTTTCACGTGTTTTTTTTTTCTTGTCCCGTCGCGCGCCACGAGTATCGTTCGATTATCGTGTTTTCGAGGAGTGATCATGCTCTTCGTGACTCAAGCGATTCGAGTGAAGCAACGTCGCGACTTAATACATCGAACGTCGAAGGATTAATCCTCGAATAACGAGGTTCATAGAGTCTCGCGTATGTCGGAAGTATGTCGACACTCTTTATTCTCACAGTAAGTTAGAAACAAATATTTAAGAGTGAATAGAATAGGTCGCAAAATGTATAAAATACTTGAAATATAACGTTTCACAAGCGGATACGCGGAAGCATTAAAATGTGGATCCGGTCGAATCCGACCCGATCTTGTTATTCGCAAGTTAATTGTGAAATACGGACTAGGGAGCATCTCTCTGATATTTTCTTACGCTCTTACGTATATTTCGTCCTATAACCCGCTGAGTCGTTCTTCCCTAAATACTGTTAATCGGAACATTCGCCAGAGCTGTAACTGTACTTCGCCGCAGCTGTCTCTCGTTTTCGCGACTCGGCTTTTTCCCGAGGCGCGCGAATTTCCCCGCGTTCAACGACCGCGAGAGAGAAGTTATCCGCGAGGAACGTTTCGATAGCGGCCGGCCGATAGTAACGACCGTGCAAATATTAGATCACCCGTGGCGAACAGCCGTGTCGTACGAACGTCGAATTCCGATAAAGGGACACCGACGAATCACTTGCGAAATCGCCTTTTTGCCCGGTAATCTCACACTCTGATTCACGCGTTACATCACCTCTCTCTCTCTCTCTCTCTCTCTCTCTCTCTCTCTGCCTTTCCACCTTTTCCGACGGTACGTCGTCGCGGCGTTGCGCCGTCGCGAATGCTTAAAAAGATTCTAAAGTAAGACGCGGGCTCGCGTTACATCGTGCCGACTCGGGCATGGCGGACCATTTATCACGTTTAACTTCTGACACTCTCGCGCGGAAGTGAGAAGTGTCATATCACCGAAAGGTTCATTTAACGTCCCGCGCGCACCGCGAATTAATTCCCACATTTCGTGAGAAGGAATACCGTAACGTCATCGCTTCGTGCGCTTAAACCTCTTATCAGAGGCATGAGAAATCGCTCGGAGAGACGCCGAAAGGGACACAGTCCCTCCGTCGAATTTTCCAATTCCGCGGAATTCCCGGTTTCTCATATACGCGGCAGAAGATTCGATTGATTAGTTCCGTCGTTAGAAGTCGACTCGACGTGCGTTCGGATGCGCGGGTGTGTGTATGTGTGTGTACGTTTCGCAGGCAGAAATAAAATTTTATATCGCGGAAGTATCGCATCGCGACAGCGATTAGAATCTATCTACGATAAAATCGGCTTTGCAATTCCCCTTCGAATCTTGGACTACCTAAGTAGTATATGCAGTCGAGTCGCAGACCATAAAATCCCGACCCGGCACGGCGCGGCGCGACGTCCGGCTGGCGTTCACGCGCGCTTTCGCGAGAGGATTTGACACGGCGTGAGCAGTCGGCAGCACATTTTTGCCACCGCGCCGCAGCTAGACAGCGAATATTCCCCGTTCAGAAATAAGATTCCAGAATGCGGAAACATTGGCATTAAACGCGGCCCGATGTACGTGCTTCGAGAGGCCGATGACGCTTACCGTCGCCGACTTCGCCCGTTCCTTCGTGGGAGCGGGCTGTAAAACGAGTAGGAAGCGAGTCACCCCTCGAGAATCTTATCCAATTAATTTTTTACAATGAAGAAAGAGAGAGAGAGAGAAATACCGGCGCCGCTCATCGCATCTATTCGCGGAGCCGTCGAAGTTCGCGTCAGCGCAAAAATACGTAGATCGAGAATACATATCCTACGTGTCGCGAAGAAGAAGGTGAAAGACAAGGAGAAGGAGGATTACATTCTTTACCGTCTCCGCGAGTTCGTTGTTACATTAACGAACGACGTCGAGCTTTAAATCGACGAGAGCCGAGGAGGTTCAAATGGTTCAGACGACTGCATTCCTATTCTCAGCCTCTCGTCCTCTCCTCGCGCCGCCAAATCGGTCGGTATTAAATCGACGTTATTAGAACGTAGCGTCGAATTTCGCCGTCGATCACACGCGACTCGACCGCGAGCGATAACGCGAAATATTCGCCTTTTATTTGGATTAAGAGTCGTGACGATTCTACGACGCAGGCGGACAACGGGGCATGATCGGCGGATCGCTGCTCGTGTTGCTGTTTTACGAGGCAACGTGAGGTGTTCGTTACCGGCGTTACTGGTTTTCGAGCGAGATCGTGACACGTCAGGAGGATCTCAATGTGAAGTTCGCAACACGATCGAGGGCGAATTCTCGCGGACTTTCACCGTAGTACCGAAGGACGGGGAGATCGGCGTAAATCGCGCGAGGTATTCGCGGCCGCTTAATACTATTGTTGCCAGCCAGATCGGCGGACGCCGCCGATCCGGTACGCTGACCGCCTCATGTCCGCCTGACATTTTCGATTCATTTCGCGAGGAGAGTGACTTTGACGCCGTAACCCGGAATTATTGTTACTTCACGATGAATACTCTACGGGCCGCTGCACATAAGCGCAACAGTATTGTCGAAATCGTCGAGTCACTCCTTAATGTCCCCGCGATAAGATCGTGCAGGAAAGTATGTCGATCTTGGAGTTTTTTTTTTTTTGTGACTTCGCGTATTGTTCGCGCGCACTTCGGCGATCGCGCGGAAAAATCGCGCGCGCCTTTGTAATTTACATTTCCTTTGAAACGTTCCGATCTCGCGAGGTGTCGTGGACACATTTTGTGCTTCTAATAACGTTTCTCTCTTTCTCGTTTTCTCTCTTTTTATCCCTTACCTTTGTTCGGGTTCTTGTTTTCCTCTGCCGTGTATTCTGCGATCTTGCTCACGCGGTCTGCTTCGTCATCTCGCGCTGTAACAGAAAGAAACACACGTACTTTTATTTATTTATTTATGTACCGGGAATATCTCTTCGGTACAACGTGTTCGACACATAAAGTAAGAAGGAAAGAAAAAAAAAGTAAGGTACTGAGATACAAATAAAAATACTAACATAAAAAGATACATTTTATAACGATATATACATTATATATTATAACCTCTTAAGATGTGTAGTCAGGTTCAAGTGATCATTATTTATACGCGTATACAAGTTGTTTAATTATTATTTCATTAATCTTCAAACATAGCTGCCGGAAACTCTAGCCCTTACCTCGCGAAAGAACGAAGATAACTTCTACCGATTCCCCGAAGATGTTGCCCGAGCGTGAGAAGAAAAGGATCAAACTAGAGCGCGCGTAACAAGTCGTTTCTTTGAATCACGTGCGATTAGATTTATGTGTGTCACGTTTTTACGAATGTGATCGCGACTATACGGCCAGCGGAACTGCGCCGTGGGTGACATTTCAATTAAGAAAAGTTAACGGGGTGGGCGGCGTGGGGGAGTCCTACGAAACAAGAGACGTGCACAAAGAGGCCACTGATAATGAATCGAGGTAATAGTTCGCCGACGGTGGACACAGCTGCACCGTTGACTCCAGTTGACCCGTGCTTATTAAACATCAGATACACCGAGCAGCGTGTGCACCACGCGCGAAGTCACTACGAAGTATATATATTTTTCGTACGCGACTCGTCCACATTCGTAATCCCCTTTCGAGATTCTCGAAGCTTCCTCGCGCGTCCCTGACATCGATTATTCCTTTTTCATTAAATTACGTGTATGATGATTTTAATCTAATTCATTTTATCGCAAATATTCACACAGAGAGATGGTTGGCACAGCTAAAGGATTTGTAAGGATATTAATTGTTAATTATGCCAACTATATGTTATTACTGTTACAACGATGTTTTGCTACAACGGCAAAATTATTCCTTTCGTGTAACAAATTCATTTGCTGTCACTACAGTAACAAACAAATTCGCTGTGCTAGCGAGAGATTTCCCTCCGTGTTCAACACTTTATCACATTTTATACGGAATTCCAGCAGTAAGACTTATAATCCGTGGGCGCGTTTCGCGTTGCTTGGACGACCGTACTTGTGAAGGGGCCGATCGAATTAATCGAATAGATAGGATAAATAAGGAGAGCCAGGCCTTTTTCGCTGCACCGCGTCGACGATGCACCGCATTCTTCGCCGGTGAACACTATCGCAGCGCGGCAGGCGGATTAGCCGCGCGATCCTGGTCGTTTTACGACTTCTTGTATTGCGGTTGAATTTTCTTTTTCTTACGAGTCTGACGCATCTCGCGAGTTTTGCTCGAATTCTGCTTCGCCGACATCTGGACGCAAGTTTATGCCGCCGTGAAGAAACACGCGCGTGGCGCCGTTAAGCAGCCTTGCGAAAAATTTGCGCCAAGAGCACAGCATTTAACATACCGTATCGCAGAGAGCACCAGCATTATCATACAACATTCAAAAGTGAAGGACTTCGAAATAAATAAGTTTCAGCTGAATGTCGGAGATTAAAACCTTGCGAGGCATGACGGTTTCTCGTCCATAACCACGAATTATAATAGTAATAATAATAGAGAGGAGTGGTTCTCCGGCACAGATTCGCCCGCGGCATCTAGGCCGCACTAGTTACGAGATGTAATTAATTTCCAGTTCGCTGAAAAAATTACTTATACTCGAAGAAAATTATGCGCAGTCTCTCTGAGTCATCATCCTGTATATTTGCCAATATTTTCCGCAACCTCTAGCTGTTTTCGAATTACCAAACCAAATTTGGATTGGATGTGAGAAAAAGTAAAGGCGTGAGAGAAGGAGAATGAGAAAGAAACGGGGAGGGATAGAGAGAGAAAGAGCCGTGCAAAGTTCAGTGAGCCTAAGAGAGGCAGATGCACGGAAACCGACCGAGAGCGAGGAACGGAGAGCCGGGAGGAAGGAAGGAGAAGGAGCGAGAGAGATCGCGAGCTGCGAGGAGTCGAAAGAGAGAAAAGGGAGCAACGAAAAATAAGAAGAGTGGTTCTCCTCTTCGGTCCGAGAGGTTGGGAGCGGGTGGCCTTGAGCAGGTCATCACCTCCGGCTGCGGTGGTGATGCTGCCCGCGCTGGACTATCTTAACTTCTTCTTCTCCTCCTTCTTCTTCTTCTTCTTCCTCCTTCTCTTCTTCTTCTCTTCCTTCTTCTTCTTCTTACTCCTTGAACCGTCCTCCTCCTCCTCCTTCTGTCTCCCATCTTCGTCTGCTCTAACATCTTCCTCCTTTCTCCTCTCGTTGCCCCACGCTCTCTCATCTTCGCTTCATCCTCGCTCTTTCTCTCTTCCTCGCGTTCTATTCGGCTCGGCAGTTACTTTGTCATTCTCTCTTTCTCTCCCCGCTTCTCCCCTCCCTCCCTCTCTCCTTCTCTCTCGCTCCTTTGCCCTTATGTTCTCTCCTTTCTGCTTTAGACGCTCTTTACACTTTCCTAAAGGCCTTCGCTCGGCCGCACGAGAAACAATCCGTCCGTGCTAACTCCGCTTCTTCGGTCAAGCGGAGGCTCGAGAGAACGGAGGACGTTCCTCGCGGTACCGAGAAGCCAAGGGCCAGTCGTATCCAGAAAGGCCCTTACCTTTTTCTGACTTCAGCGCAATTTTATGCGAGATTTGCCCGTGTCATTAACATCTCCACATAGAACTCGCTCGGAGGATGACGAGCGCCACGTTGAAACTTGTCAAACTCCTCTCCTCGACGCGCCTCGAGGAACGTGCGCGCGAGGCATCGTATGTACACTTCAATCCGACCTGACGCCACCACCTGCGCAGGTACATATCGCCGTACGGAACGAATCTCGCTTAAACGCAAGATAATTTCTCTCTCGTTCGAGCGGCGGAGTTTCAAGGTACGCGCGCGTCGCAGCCCGCGCCTGCCTTGCTCTATTACATACCTAGGGAAGAAAGGAGTTGGTATCGCACACGCCTTTCATTATATCGCACGCGCCACCAGCTCTCAGCGCAAAAACCGTAAATTATCGGGCGTGTCGATTCCGTGTCGTTTCCGTGCAACAGACGGATCACGCAAATTGAGTTTGACAAACTGGATCGGTAGTTACCGCCTTCTCGCGATCGTAATGATCGGCGCGTGGCTTCGCGCCAAGGAACCGGACGTTCGTCGTCGAGCGTCGTCGTCGTCGTCGTCCACCTTCTCATCTGGTCGCGAGGAGCCTGGAAAGAGATATTTCCAGGCCGATCGGAATAAAGTTGTAACGCCCGAGGTGGGTTTTATGAAACGGTTAACACGCGCGCCCGTGCGCGCGCTGCTCGTCTAGCCGGTGTGTGTATGTGTCCGCGTGTGTGTGTATGTGCATGTACGTGTGATCGAGAAGCGCTAAGTCGTGTTATTTCCTTCGTAGGTGCAACATTCCGACACTCGCTTNCGTCGAAAGTGCAGACGGCTCGTCGGCTCGGCCGACTGCCGAGCCGCAAATTGCCGGGCGTGACGAGGATTTCGTGTCGTTTCCGAGGGAAAGGATCACGCAAATTGGATTTGACACAGTGGATCGGTTAGACCCACCCTCTCCAGGATGTAATGATTGGCGCGTGGCCACGCAGCCACGCACCTCGCGTCCCGACGCGAATAGCGCGGATTACGTATGTGCGAACGTTTCGTCTCGCGGAGATCGCATCTTGAATTCTCTCTCTCTCTCTCAGTTATTATCGTGGGACGTAATCGCGCACGGGCATCTCGATCGCGTTCGCGCGCGGTGTTGATTAAATTGGATTTGACGGGACGGGCGTGATTCTCTCTCTCTCTCCCCCTCACTTTTCTCCGTCCTCGTCGTTCCTCGTCATTCGTTCCTCGTGTCTGAAGGTATGATGATTATTCCGCGACGGGAGGGGGGTAACGAACAACAGATCTCCTACGAGCGCGTGCTTACCGCCAACATAGAGAAGGAGTCTCGATTACGCTGAATAAATAGAAAACGAGCACTGCTAGTCGACAACGAGCGCTGGCTGCGAATCGCACACGCGAGCGGGCACGCAAACGGCGGTTGCAAGCGGCTTGCATTTCGGTGCTGTCGCTGAGCAACGCCGAACACGCGGAGGACCGGATCGTCGAAGCCGGTGCGCGGACTTAAGTGAATGAGGAAGATAAACATAATAATTACGGCAAATTGAGGCCTGCCACTGAAAACGGCATTGTGGCGAGCGGAGAAGAGGCGAGAGAAAGAAGCGGACCGTGCGCGCGGTACCGGCGCGACGTGTATCGGTCGGAATAAGCGCGTTTAGCGTACTTGGCGTGCCGGCGGTAGCGTGGGTGAGAGCAGCGGATTATCGGAAAACGCGATTTAAACCTGCAACTATCCGCGGTATGCCCGCTGCGGCCTCATTACGAATTTATCGTCCGCGTTCGACTCGCGCGACCGCCGGCCCCTTCCTTCGAAATGTTATCCGCACTGGAATTTTATTATTTTCTTTTTTCAAACAGCATTTTATATGCTCTTCAAGTTTGACAAGATGACATATAATACAGGGATTTTAGAGCCTTATTGCGTCGTCGTCGATCCGGTGACTGTTTTTCTCCCTCTTCTTATCGCAGGACTCCGTTTTAACACGGTATGGGATCACAATGAGAGGTAATCCGGCGACAAAATCGCGGCACACGCTCGGCCGGAAGTTCTCTCGCCGCGTGGGCCGGTATTCTCTCAGACGATACCATAAATTGCTCTAATCTCGCGAGCAGTAATAGGCGTATCCACTCTCTCTCGCGACCGCGTCGCTGAGGTGGCAAGACGCGTTGCATACCGACGCGCCGAGGTTGCCGAGGACGACGCGACTGCTCTACTCTTATCGGCGCTTTTAACTCGCGAGACTCTATGCTCGCGCGCGTGTAACTCCGCGTTGCAAAATCGGCGAGCAAAATTCCCACGCCGGGTAATACGCGTTGAAATGAAACGGTTTCCGCGAAAAGAGTAGTCCGCGCGCGGCAGAC